AGGGGCTTGGGCGTTTTTCGGGGCTGAGGCTCCGGGCTGGTTCCCGCCTAGGGTGTAGTGTAGAGCCTTGGATTGCCTTAACTCTGCACTGAGGCAGGCGGCGTCCTCAGCAGCCTGCGAGCATCTGCCCTTGTGTTTCAGGCAGGGCCATGGCGGAGGTTGACGGTCCCACGCAGCTGCTGGAGGTGTGCGGGAAGAGGCTCTGCCGCTTCCTCCACGATGCCGAGCACAAACACTTGGCCTGGCTGCGGGAGGTGGAGGAGCAGGGCATGAGGATGCTAGATAGGTAGGGGCTGTCCCCAAGGGACCTCTCCATTCCCTAAAGGTCTCAATGTTCTTCCAGCCCCTGTGACTATAGGGCTGCTGTGCTCCGAGCTGCTGGGGTGCCAGCCCTGGTGCAAGGCCGGTGGATGTTAGGTCCCACAGCTGGGTGACTGTGATTTGGGGTAGCTGTGGGTTTGGCAGCTCAGTGTGGGCCTTGGTGCTAGATATCTGGTACTTTCACCTCTGGTGTTTCTCACCCAGCACTCATCCCTCTCAATGAGTGACCCTTATTTTGTAGACAGTGGTGTTTTGGGCAGTAGGGGGAAGCACACTCTTTGTTCTGCATTTGCTCAACAGCAACTTCGGGGCTGAACCCGAATTAATGCCCAAAACGCCATCACAGAGGAGGCGTCCCAAGAAAAGGCAGTCCTCCTGCCTGAAAGATGAAACCAAGGAGCTAAACAGGAGGAGGTAGGTGAGTCGGTTTGCTCTGGCTCTGCTGCTTGGTATTTAAAAGCGAAACAAAATAGTAATTGTTTCTACCTACACTAGAACATAAAATAGCCCTGTTACTACCTGACTTAATAAGTACATTTAAAAGGACATGTCAAGATAAATCAATGTTTTGATTGTTGTGAAAGCTTGTGATAGAGTTAGATGATTTCCTTCACTTTTTTTCTTTCATTTTTTTTTTCTGGTTAGAAACAAAGACTAATAAATTTTATTTTCCTGTCTGTTTGGATGTGGGTTTTGTTTTCTTTGACTTTGTTTCAGTATGATTTTTTCAGTCTGTGGTTGCTGCTGGTGTTCACTCCCTAAACCTTTGTGCCAGTGCTAGAGAGAACCCAAGAATGGGACTCGCAACCAGTGACGTGCGGAAGCAGCATGTCCGTGGTAAGGGATTGAGCTGGCAGGCAGAAAGGCTCAACAGGACTAGTGGTGAAACTGAAGTGGAAATTCCAAGTGATTTGTTTAGAAATAACAGCACTTGAGGCTTTTAAAACTAGTCCTAAGTAGATAACAGTTGCCTGAAAACAGATGCCAAGACAGGATGGTGCAGGGCGTGGATTAATTGCATATGTAGTCAGGGATGGCTGTGGTGCTAATTAACTTCCCCAATGCCATGGGAGCTGGCTGCATCTGCTCTCATCTTGTGGTCAGTGGCAAGGCAGTTAAGGTCACCTTCCCTTCAGAGAAGCACAAGCTGTGAGCCAAGAGCAGGCACACTGACAATTGCTGTAGTGTGATCCAAACCTTGTCCCTGGGCATGCAGTAATTAACTCTTTATGCATTAAGACACTTAAACTTTGATAACCATGGTGAAAAACCCACAGAAGTTGGACTGGAAGAGTTAGAACTAAAAGACTGTCAGAAACCAGACATGGAGGATGGAGGGAACAGCAAGAATAGTAAGGAAGCGTGGGAAGTTCACGCGTGTGTGTGGTGAAGGAGGGCAGGAGAAGAAAATGTCGCAGATCTAAAGGAGGAGAGCTCTCGAGACACACTGTTAGCTTTCAGGTAGAAGCTGAATTGCACCTCTGAAGAGGACAAGTCTTGTGTGTATTTTTCCTCATTTAAACTTAGTTTTGAGAAAGATCTGCTCACGTAACAGAATCCCCGGTCATGCGTCACCAGGAAGTTCCTGCTGCAGCTCAGCACATTGGGCTCTATCCCGTGGGGTCAGGCTGTTGTTTTCCTTCCTCTGTTTTTCTCAGTCTGTATCTTAAAACCCATTTCTTAGTGTATTGTTAATTAACTGTTGTGCACTTCCACACAAGCTTTCTGTTGTCTCCAGTCCCACACTTTATCTGGCTGCCAAAGTTGTCCTCTGGTTTTGGATTTGTCCACCTAATCTCCTTGACTTGCTGATCCATTGTGTGGCTTGATCCTCTCGTAGCAAGTTACCTAATGCAGCAAAGAGGATTTCACTGCCAGAGTACCCCAGGTCAGGTTTAACTGAAGCAATAGAACCAGAGACAGTTACTGTACCTGCTAATTTTTCTCTTTGATAACAGTAATTCAATGAATTCCTGAGTCCTAACTGCACAGGTATTTTTTGTTGCCTTTCTCAGGTTTATGCTGCCAGGTGCCACATGTATGGTGGCTTTGCTGTGTTTCCCAGCCTGTTCACAAACTCGGTGTTTGGAGCCATGGATGTTTTCTCTGCCTTGATCCCTGCCTCCCCAGTGCTTGGGGTGTGTTCTGCACTGGGCACCCTGGCAGGGAGCAGCAGAGCTGGCTGTTTCTAGCTGGGATCTTGTAGGTCAGAATCACAATCACAGAATTGCTCGGTTGGAAAAGCCCTCTGAGATCATCATGTCCAACCGTTCCTGTCTACCCACTAAACCATATCCTTAAGTACCTCGTCTACCCGCTCTTTAAACACATCCAGGGATGGGGACTCCACCACCTCCCTGGGCAGCCTGTGCCAGCTTCTGACGACCCTCTCAGTAAAGAACTTCCTCCTTCTCTCTAACCTGAACCTCCCTTGGCACAGCTTGGTGCCGTTTCCCCTTGTTCTGTCCTCCATCACCTGGGAGAAGAGACCAGCACCCACCTCTCTACAACCTCCCTTTAGGTAGACCCTTTAGGTCTCTGCAGGGGAGACTTCTACACAGAGTTAATTGTGGGAGACTGTGCCATCTTCGATCCCAAATCCTTCCCTGTGTGGATGTCTGTGCTTGCTCAAGGCAAGCAGTGGAGTTGGTTGTACCAGTAGGATGTTGCTGTCCCCTGGTGTCAGCTCTGCCTGGGGCTGTGGGTCACTTCAAAGAGCAGCAAGTGTCCTGCTACCTCAGCTGCTGCCACTTGGATTGTGAGTCAGCCCAGGCCTCGTAGCTGGGATGGCTGCACTGAGGGTGTGTGCCCTGAATCACTGCCTATGGTGTAGAGTGGTAATGTCGAGCAAAAAAAAATCCCGCAGACAGCAGTAAGCAGTAATTTCTGAATTGTTCCAGCTAAATCTACCAGAGCGCATCTGTGAGCTCTCAAGCTTCAGCTCCTGCATTTCACCGGTGATGGGAGATGGGTCATGAGGGGGAATGGGAGAGGGAAGAAGCCTGCATGTTCACTTCAAAACTTCTCTGCTTTTTCTTCTAAAAATCATGACTTCTTCATTGCTTCATTTAAAATTTTTTATTTAAGGTTGTCCAGAAGGAGAAGCAACATCAAGCCAAGTTCCCAAAGGCACCACAGCAAAGAGCAAACCCAGCACCCTGACCATCAGGGGGAGGAGGTATCTGTGTTCGACTGTGCTGTGGGGTCTCAGGCCAGCGCTAAAGCCGAGCTCCCAGTGCTGACTGGGAAATGGATGGCTGAAGGCCCTGTGGTGAAGAGGGAGGGCCAGGACTGCCCTCAGGGCCCCAACAGCAGCAATGCAGCCTGCAGGTCTGTTCTGGAGGAGCAGTTGCCCGAGGGGGATGCAGCCGCTGAGCTGCAGGATGCATCTTCTGTGTCTGCAGTCCCTGCTGGCCAGACAGCGAGGGAAGGGGAGGAGACCCTCGGAAGAAGTGCAAGTACCTCTACTCCCAAGGCTGCTAGAAATGGAGATCCTGCTGCGCTCCAAGGGGATAAGTGTCCTCCAGGCCTCGAAAAGTTGCTCTTCCAGGACTCTGACAGCAAAATGACTACAGCGAAATCCAAGGCGCGCCGTTGCTCTGGACGCCATGGTGGTGCCCCACGCAAGAGCCGTAGGGCCTCCTTGGCTGAAAAATACTCACTGGCCAGCAAAAGAGAGAGCATGATCCGGAGGTCTATCAGCAGGGCCATCTCAAAGAAGGCAGCAGCCCGAGAATTGTCCTCTGCCTCCAGCAGAATGAGCCGTACGTTTCTTTCGGTTGTCGAGTGCGTTCATTTGACTAAATCAGCTTCTCTGCTTTGGGGTGGGGAGCAAGTAGCTGCAGAGCTGCTCATCTGTATTAGCTCAGGCTCCTCTTGGTCTCCTTGTCAATAGGCCTTGTGGCTTCCACCCATTTGGAGTGCAACCTTCAGGTCCTCACCTGCTGTTGGACTGAGCCTCAGGCTGTGTTGTGTTGCAGCAAGTGGAGGCAGCATCTGCTGAGGCATAAGCAGAGGGCCTGAAGGTTGGGTTATGTAGGTTGTGGATAGGCAAAAAAAAAAGAGTGAAAGGGAAAATGTGGTCTGGCTGGTTCTAGCTACTTGTGTGGTTTGGCTGATGAGAAGAGACTATAGCATTCCCTGGGGAGGGGCTTTAATTTCAATGTCTTCTGCCAACTCTCCAAAAAATCTATAGGAACTGAATGGCTCCACCCCTAAAATTGGCAGAGGGACTTAAATGCTTTTTGGGTGAAGATAGAAGAGAACCAAATAGCGCAGTCATCAGAGGAAACAAGATTCAGAAATCCAGGCTATTCCTGGTAGCACTAAATGCCTCATTCTCTGTTCCCACCACCCCTGGGAAGGTTTTGCTATTTGGACTTTCTAAAATCATTGCTTCTGAAGTCAGATTGGCTTCTAATAAAGCACCGAGGCCTTTGGTATTTAGTTTTGTCAGCTTTGAGTCACACTGTATCTAGGCATTTGTTATAACACTTTCAGCTAAGTGCTGTTATGGGGGGAATGAAATCAGCCTAAATCCACCAAATCTCTGCATAAAACCTTGTAGGGAGGCAGGAGCTGAAGTCAATTGACTGGGAAATGCTGTCTCTGACACAGGCAGGAGCATGTTTGTGCAGCTGGAGCAGTCTGCAGGCAGAGGAGCTGCTGCCTCAGCTCTCTGCCTTCCCAGCCTACACCAGTTTGTCAGTGACACTTGAGGGAGGTGGTGGTGCTGGTGTGGAAAGCTGAGATGAGCAGTCTGCGTGTTTCCTGGGAGGAAAGCCTGCAGAGAGGCCTGAGCTCTGCCATGCACACATTGCTGCTGTTGGGAAGCCTCAGAATGAAATCTCCAAGCTTTTATATTTTTCTTCTCCAGGTCAAAGCTCCTTGGAGATTTTTGTGGAAGAAGAGGTGACCAGCAGCATGAGGTGAGGCTGCCATGTGAAGCAGGCAGGAAGAAACCACAGAAAACCCTGCAAGGGAGCTCTATGGGTGGCTTTTAGATTACAGACATAGGACTAGCTTTGTAACAGACTGTTCAGGTGACATTGTCACCTGAGGCTGGTTGATATTTCAAAGTTTGATGTTCAGGCACAGCCCTTGTTGTTCAGTCATGCAGTGAAATGGCCCAGCAGGAGAATTTGCAGCTCCACCTCTGTGTGGCCTGACTGAAACAGGCCTGTGCCTCTGGATGTGCTTAGATTGATCTTCACTTCCCTTAGGGTCCCATATGCTGGCTCCATCATACTTTTATCACCTGTAACTTGCCCTTCAGAGAGTTGAAATTATTAAAATAGCTCTTCTTTTACAGACCTGGACTGGAACTGAATCCCCCAAGTGAAAAGGTGAGTTCAAAAGAACAGTCTACAAACTGTCTGGACATCTTGCCTGTGTTGACACCTTTTGCTGAGCAGTGCCACAGCGGCCAAGGGATCATCCTGTCACTTCCTTTCCAGCTCAGTGAAGGTACTGCCTGCTGAGTGGGACAGAGCGGCCCTGCCCATGTGTAGGCAGCCACTGAAGCCAGTTAGCTCCTGGTGGGCAGAGGCATTTTGTACTTTGATAAGGCTTCCTCGAGCTGGAGGTTTTTGGAGGTGCTTGGCCAGGTTCCCAGGAGCCAGCAGGCTTCTGCGTGTCAGCTGGGCACGGTAACTGCCCAGATTCTTAGACTGGCTTGTATGGATGTGCTGCAAACTGGCTGAGGGGAAAACCAGCCCAGCAGAGAGAGGGGAGGATGCTGCTTCAGAACAGCTCCCTGCTGCTGTCAGGAAGCAGCAGCAGCTGCAGGAGTGGGCAAATGCTTTGCTCTGGGTCATGATGGTGGGAGCTTAGCAGGCAGGGGAAAGCACGGCCTGTGTGCAGGCAGTCTCCTAGTATCCTAGAATGCTGTACTGCAGTGACTTTTTTGCTTGTCCTCTTGTAAATACACCATAATGGTACTTAAAGTGCCTGATGATCTTGTAATCTGGAACACTTTACAAGGACTTGTCTTTCAGCACTGGGATAGCTATAGTTTGAAGTCTGGTGTCTCCAAGGTGTCTAGATGCTGCCTGTCATTCTTGAGGCACTTTGACTTTGGAGACCAGGTTCAGTAAAGCTCTGGTTGAGAGATGCTGGGCAACTGTCCTTCCTGCAGAGGTGTTCTGTGAGCAGACCCCCTGTTACTGAATCCAGTCAGCATCTGTGCAGAACAGCTCTGGTTGAGGAATCAGCAGGCACTAGCCTAGCAGTGGGATTGCAGTGGGAAGTGATTGGCTGTTTCAGGGTAGCAGGTTCATGGCAGCCTTGTTCTTTGGAGCAAGTGAGCTAAGAAAATACTTGTTTCCTCTTCTTGCAGACTCCTGAAGATGTCCTCATTTCAAGCAAAAATATACAAGCTGCCAGCCCTCCTGCACAGCACTTATCTCCTCCCAAGCTGCAGGCAGGGAACAGTGAAGGTAACTTCAAATTGGTCTTGCTTTTTTTTTTTGCATGAGGCCCCAAAGACACACAGGCAAGGGAGTCAGTGTGAGAGTTTGTGGAAAATCTGGAACTTGTGCTGAAGCAAAACCATTTCTGACCTGTTAAGGTAACTTTTCAGGTAAACTTTCCTTATCCTGAAAATGTGAGATATGATTAGATAACTGAGGACATCCTGTCAGTGTGTCCAAGCCTTGAGACAAATGCTGTTCTGTCCAAATTCAATCTGTGTAATGAGTAAGAGGAGACACTTTGAAAGGACTTAGACCTGGAATCTTCCATAGTGTAATGTTTTGTTAAAGTGTCTTGACATCCCTTTCCTCTGTGTTTAGTTATGTGGGGATTTAGAGGCAGTCTTCATTTACTGTGCCTCAAAGCGAGGGAGAGATTCAGGCCTTTGGTTTCTCTGCTATGAGAACTGTAGAATCTGATAAGTGGCTGTAGCTGGAGTGGAGGAAGAGTAGCTGGAGGCCTTCTGGTTGTGCCTGTTCAGAAGGGTTTGTAAAGGATGCATCCTACAGTGTGCTTCACAGTGTATCCATACAACACCAATATTCCAGATAACCAAACTGAAAAGAAGCCTAGATGGCGATGTGCCACAGGGCTCTGAGCACACAAGAGCTGGAGACAAGAATCGGAGCCCTGCAGGATGCTTTCCATGTGGTGCTAACTACAGGTTTCTTCACAGGAAGCTGTGTAAATCTAAACAGCAAATGCCAGAATGAGAACCAGGAGCAACGCCCCTGTGCCAAGTCCCAGGAGAATCTCTCGTGCATCTGGTATGAGACATTTGCAAGGAGGAGGAATGAGCCAGTGGTCTGGAGAGACTTGGGCCTGGCCACTTTTTAAGTACTTCATTTAAAGAGCTTTGGGTGTTTGTTTCCCTACCTTCCAATGTAGCTTTGAGATCTTTGACCAAATCTTGCCTCCAGGGAGTTCCCTGTGACTTCTTGAGCCTTGTTTGGATCTGGGACCCAAATCTGGCTTGGGAAGCAGACACATGAGTTCATGCACAAACCAGCAAGGGTGACTAAGTTAACTCACAGCTCAGATGTGACCCTGAATGGCTCGTAAAGGGGTGGTCCATGAGTAGTTTCAGAAGGCAATGTGCGCAGGTGACTGATCTGTTTATTTTTATATTGTGCAAATGACTGAAATACCTGACTTGTTTCCTCACTGCTTGTATTACTGGCGTTTCATGTGAGATTTCAGCTGCTTCTATCTTTGTCCTCAGTCTCATGTCCTGGTTTTGCTGGGGTGAATTTGCTGTGGGTAGTGGGTGGGAAGGGGCATAACAGTAAGCTCTGTTCTCACATGGATGCTTAGCGCTGCGAGATGGGTCAGGATGTGCAGCCTTCCTCAGCACTGCTGCTGGGTTGGACCCTGATTGTGCAGTGAAGCTCTTCCCCTATGTTCTTTCCCTGGAATTAGGGAATGCAAGCGAAGTCATTCTGACACAGGTAAATCTGTGAGTGTCCAGAGTATTTATACAGCATGTGAAACCCTGCCAGTGAGTTGAGCTGGGCAGTTGCAGACTCGCAGAATCACAGAATCTTAGGAGTTGGAAGGGACCTCCAAAGCTCATCCAGTCCAACCCCTGCCAGAGCAGGATCACCAGACCAGGTCACACAGGAACACAGGCAGGGGTTTTGAATGTCTGCAGAGAAGGAGACTCCACAACCTCTCTGGGCAGCCTGGGCCAGTGCTCTGTAACCTTTACAATAAAAAACTTTTTCCTCATGTTCACGTGGAACCTCCCATGCTCCAGCTTGGGACCATTGCCCCTTGTCCTGTCATTGGACATCACAGAGCAGAGCCTGGCTCCTTCCTCCTGACACTCACCCTTTATAAATTTATAAACATTAATGAGGTCAATGGGTTGTCCATCTTGTGCTTTTAATACCAGATAGAGCAAAGACTCCTTGCTTGCTTGGACTCGGAGTGGAGAATGAGGGTGAGGGTGATGCTGTACATTGCAGCTTTGGAACCTGGGTGCTTCCCTACCAACCTGTTGCATGCTTTGCTGTCCTAGTTCATGACTGGATGGTGTGCCTGCCATGGGGCTGACTGAGTTCATAGGGATCCTGTGGCCTCTGCAGTGAGCAGGCAGAGGAAAGTTTAACAGCAAGTGAATGCTTCTGGCAAGGCTGGGGAGCCTGACAGTTGCCTAATGTGTCTCTTGCTAATGCCACCAGGACGAGAAGCTATAAAAAAGCGATGGATTCTGTATGGAACAGGCAGCAGCCAGGGGGTCATACCCTTTCCCCTTTGGATGACAAGCACAAGAATTCAGCAAACCAGGCTCTATCTTCTTCCTCCCCAGCCAGCAAGGTGAGTGGGTACTGTGGTCCTTCTTTGCCTCCTTTTCCCTGGCAAGTGCTGACTTCTCTCCATCTTCTCCTCTTAGGTTGTTAAACCATTGAAAAACTTCCTGCAGGCTGTGCAGCGAAACCAGCTGCTCATGAGCCCAGGGCCCACAGGACGTGGGGGGGTCATAAAGAACTTCATTAAACGCAGTACTCCTACCCGACCTGATGTTAAGGTGTGTCAGAGTCCCACTTTCACTCACAGGGCTGGAGGAGGGCGATCAAGTTTGGGGCAGTGGCAGGGAGGCACTGTTTGCTTAGAAAAGCATAAACATATTCCTAGTTGTGTCTGCTACCATGGATTGGTGCATGTCCTTGCAGCAAACTGGTCTCACAATCCTCCCCAGAAAAGGGAAACTGGTTGGTGTTGCCTTGTTGCCTGTCCACATGCACTGTTACTGGCCTCAAACCTTCCTCAGGTGCAGGGAAAGCTCAGCTGCTCTGTCTGTAGTCAGCAGAAACACTTTATGTTCTGGGACTGTTGAACCATAGGAAAGTGGGAAGCTCTTCTCTTTGCCCTGGTGTGTCACGTAGTTGGCTGCTGCAGAGCTGAGGTGCTGACAGTGTGAGGTCAGCCAATGGGTTCCTCACCACATACTCTTGAGGAGCTGAGAATGGGGTGTGTGTGCTATGAGGGGAGGTTCTAGTGTTATTTCCAAACCCTTAATAATTTTTCTTATGTCTCTTCTTTCCAGGGAGACTTTGTTGTAAGTAATGGCACCCTTAACCTTAGGGGCTGAAAGATTATGATGGCTGTGCCCCTTGCCTCATGGGCACTGACAGCTCTTTTCCCCTCTCACTGGCATCCATGCAGCTCTCTGTCCAAATAAGTAAACTAGCCACACCAGTGGTGAGGTGGCAGGGTCTCTTTGCAGGTGTGTTCTATTGGGGCTGGGAACTGCTAGGAAACCTTTCGGCCTTTAAGCAAAACTATCTGCTCTGTGCCCCTTCTCTGTTCTCCCAGCTGCTGGTGTTGGGAACACCATCCCAGACATGGAGCATTTGCCACAGATGGTCACCGACAGCAGGAGTGTGCTGTTCCTTGCCTGAACATATTCTCTACAGCATGAGGTGTTTCCGTCCTATAGCTGTGACTCTTCTGCTCTTAGTTGAATAAGCACTGTTGCCAAACCAGTGTTGTTTCTTCCCCACTATTCACTTCCCATCCTGGTGTGTGGGTGAATATGACTGACAGTGACTGCTTTCTTTAGCAAGCTGCCTAGCCTCTAGCTGCCTGTGTGCAAGCAGTCTGAGGGTAGAAACAGGCCCCAGCAATTGGTATAGTCTGGACTCCTCTCCCTTCAGGAGAAGGAGCGACAGAGACTGGAGAGCCTAAGGAAGAAGCAGGAGGCTGAGGAACAGAGGAGAAAGAAAGTGGAGGAGGAAAAGAAACGGCGGCAAGCAGAAATGAAGCAGTGAGTTGGGTCCCTTAGCTCTTGCTCCTTCCTTGGTTCAGCACAGAATTACCTTGGAGGTCTTCCCAGCTCAGCAAGCGGCACCGCTTTGCTCTGCTGTGCTTTGTACCTCCCACTTGGAAGGACCATTTTGCAAGTGCTGCTGGGCACCCTGAGTGCTGCTGTTCGTGGTTTACTGCAGCAAGGACTGCATTGGTGCAAAGCACCTGCTAATGTCTGAATTTAACCCAGGAGTGAGCTGAGGCTAAGCTCAACCAAAGCAAGATGAGCAAAATAACTCTTCCCCAATTATTCTGGCAAGCCCCTATTCCCCTGTCATGCTCTGTGGTAGAGAGCAGACAAAGCTAACAAGCCCCTCTTGCACACACGTTG